ACTACCCAGAGGGTGTCGAAGTTGATGGTTCATGTTCTGTTTCTCAGGATGGGTGCTAGGTATGTGGACTTTGATTTTATTGGTAGTATTTGAATATATAATATATTAAATAGATAATGTATGTATTCCATGTTTATTAAATATTTTATTTTGGCTTTGTCTAAGAATTAGATTAAAAGTGATAATAAATTGGTCATTTCAGTATATAAAATACTTAAACAGCTGCGGACATGCAGTCTTAAATAATACTTGGCTTTGTAAATGTGAAAAGGTACCAAGAGCAATTCCCAGTCGAAAAAACATCACATCTCTGTCTCTAGATATGTATTCACATTTGCTGTCAACATGAGTGTTGAATTTTACTAGCAGGAATGAGAACAAACTCACAATTAAAACACCCAAATTAAAAATGCCATATTAAAATTATCCCCAAACATTCAACAGTGGTTGTGGTGGGGTAGTGGATTTGCGATAGTTTTTTTTTTTCCTTTTTCCATCTTCAACATATTTTTATTTTGTTAATGAAATAGATTTCAATAAATCATTGAATTTGGAACCACTGGCATAGAAGGACTAAATCTACCCTACACGTTCATGTTAAAATGTATCTGCTGACATACTTAGCTTGTTCTAAATGAGCCTTCCTATTTCCTTCCATCCCTAACTCTATTCCTGCCACCTCTCTCTCCCTTCACTTCTCCTTCCTTCTTTCCTTTCTTCCCTTCCTTCCTTCTTTGTTGCCCTATCTAAAACATCCACTGCCATATTGAATGGAAGTGCTGAGTTAGGATATTCTTGTCTTGTTCTTGATCTTAAGAGGAAAACGTTCATTCTTTCACCATTAATTATACTGTTGGGTGTAGGGTATTGTGCATGGCCTTTATCAGGTTGAGTGAGCCCAATAGGAGACTGCACATTGGATTTTGTAAAATTCTTTTGAGTGATTTTTAAAATGTCGAACGAAATTTGTGTTAAGATCTATTCTATTGGCAACTTTCAAGTGTATGATAGGGTGTTCTTAACTATAGTCATCATGTTGTACATTACATCCCAGAACTAATTCCTTTTATAAACAGATGGTTGTACCCTTTGACCACCTTCACCCATTCCCCCATCCCCCAATCCTGGCAACCATCATTCTACTCTCTGTCTCTGAGTTTGGCTTTTTAGATCCCATATATAACCATATAACAGAGTTCTCTGATTTATTTTCCTTAGCATAATAGCCTCAAAGTTCACATGTTGTCACAAATGAAGGGATTTCCTTCTTTTTATAAATGTATATTTCATGTATACACACACACACACACACACACAGGCCACATTTTCTTTATCCATTCACCCATCAGCAGACACTTATTTTTTCATGTCATGGCTACTATAGATAATGCTGCAAGGAACATGTGGGTGCACATATGTTTTTGAGACTATCACTTCATTTTCTTCACATCTAAAAGTAAAAGTGGAATCACTAGATCACATGATCTATTTTTAATGTTTTGAGAAGACTCCATACTGTTTTCCATAATGGTTACCTCAATTTGCATTCCCACCAATAGTGTACAGATTGCTTCCTTTTCTCCACATCCTTGACAGCATTTGTTACATATTGTCTTTTCAATCGCAGTCCTACTAATAGGTGTGAGGTGATACGCTCATTGTGGTTTTGAGTTGCATTTCCCTGATGATTTCCTTGATGATGCTGAGCACATTTTCATGCACCTATCAGCCATTTGTATATCTTCTTTAGGAAAATATCTATTCAGGTCTTTGCCCATTTGAAAATAAGATTATTGGCATGCTATTGTTGCATGAGTTCCTTGTATATTTTGGATATTAACCGCTTATCAGATACATGGTTTGGAAACATTTTCTCCATTCCATAGCTTATCTTTTCATCTTGTTGACAGAGGCATTTTAGTTTAAGGTAGTCCTACTTGTTTATTTTTCCTTTTGTTGCTTGTGCCTTTGGTATCATTTTGAAAAAAAAGTCATTACCAAGACCAATGTTAAGGAGCTTTCTCCTGTATTTTCTTGTAGGAATTATGCAGTTCCAGTTCTTATGTTTAGGTCTTTAACCTGTTTCAAGTTAATTTTTCAAGTGGCGTAAAGGTCCAGTTTCATTCTTTTGTGTGCAAATATCTAGTTTTCCCAGTACTATTTACTGAAGAGATGATCTTTTTCCATTGTGCATTCCTGGCTCCCTTGTCAAACACTAGTTGAGCATATATACATGGGTTTATTCCTGGGCTCTCAATTCTGTCTATTTGTCTGTGTGTCCCCTTTTATGCCAGTATCTTACTGTTTTAACTATTATAGCTTTGTGAGATGGTTTGAAATTAGGAAGTGTGATGCCTCCTTCTTTGTTCTTTCTCAAGATTATTTTGTTTATTCAGGGTCTTTTGTTGTTCCATGTGAATTTTAGGATTTTTTTTTTCTTTAAAATTGCCACTGGAATCGTGAAAGGAATAGCATGGAATCTATAGATGGCTTTGATTAGTATGGACATTTTAACACTAGTAAAGTCTTCCAATCCATAAACAGAGGATATACTTCCACTTATTTTTGTCATCCTCAATTTCTTTCATCAATAGTTTTCAATGTACAGGTCTTTCACTTCCTTCATTAAATTTATTCCTAAATATTTTATTGTTTTTGATGCCACTGAAAATAGGATTTTTTTCAGGTAGTTTGTTGTTAGTGTATATACCCAACTTATTTTTGCATATTGATTTTGTATCTTGTAATTTTACTGAATTCATTAGTTAGCCCAATGGGTAATAGAGTTTTGTGAAGTTTATATATTCTGCTGCAGAATCTGCTTCTGCACCAAGCTTTGTCTGCAAACTAATTAAATCTACACTACATTTCACACATATAAACTACTGTTTCCATATTATATGCCTGTTCTTATGATTAATAAAATACATATTCACAGAATGTGAAATGTGTATTTTACAAATCTCCACCATCAGGGAAAATCTCATTTTCTTTGCCAGGCCATAAATGGTTAACAGTTTTTTTTTTTTTGTAATCAGCAAGGAGAACATTCAGAAAACTGAATACACCCTACAAGACTAGGCTCTAGGAACGCCAGCAAGCGTTCATCAATCCCATGTCATCCCGGGGAAAGGGCACACTAACAGTCCCTGTGGCCTATATGCAGGATAGCAATGGCAGTTTCCAAAGGAGGATGGAGGAGAAGGAAATGTGCGTAGGCCACTCTATATAAAAGTTTATATGTCAGAGAAGAGGTTAGACCAGGAGACATAGATGTGCATGATGCAATTATGCTGGGAGACCACACTGTGCTAGAAGAGTAGCACATTATGAAGGGGCACCTGGTGACAGGGTGCAAACACAGGTAGAAACAGGTCCAGGAAGGTGAGAACTGAAAAGAGGTCACTGAATCTTCCAGAATGCTGAGGTCATCTGTGGCTTTGCCTGAACAGCCTCTGTAAAGAAGCAGGACACGTGGGAGATGAAGAAGTGGCTAAAGCAAGTGTAGACCCCTTTTTGAAGGAGCTTGGCCAAGACTGAGGGGATTGCTACAAGACACAGGATTAAAAGAACATTTTTTTTTTCCAAGAATAGGAGAGGACTAAGTTTTTATCTTGAGGGGGAAGAGCTGGTAGAGAGTAAAGATAAACGATGGAGCCAAGCCAAGTCATGGATGAGAACGGAGAGGATGGGGTCAAAAGCTCTGTTAGGAATAGGAGCCTGCAAGGAGGGATATTAGTGACAGGCCATTGAGGGAGTTCAGCAAAGGAGGTGATAGTCTTCTGAGGACCTGAGGGGGTGGGAGGAGAGCGATGAAGACTTCTAATAGTTGCAAAGGAGGGACACAAAAGAAGTAAAAAATCTGTGGGACAGGGCTGAGGGTGAACTGGGGTTGGAGGTCATGGATGCACAGTGGTACCAACCCATCCTGCACATAGATGGATCAAAGACCACACAATTCCACAAAGAAGGAACTCCAGATTTCATTCCTTGCTTTCCTATGTTATGTTCGAAGAGCAGATATCCTGTGGCAGTCTATCCTAGTAATGACATTTTAGGTGCTAATTGTGTTCTTCCTTCACCCCTTCTTCTCTCTTTCCTTATTTCTCTCTCTCCTACTCCAACAGGTATGAATTTTCCCTGCATTTGTTACTCTTTGTTACTCTTTGGGTCACTAAGGAAAAAGAAAATCATTTAGGTGAAACTTGGCTTTTATGCCATCCTGTGAGGAAGCACAGGACCCTGGGGGGGGGGGGGGGTGGGGGTTCTTAAGGCGCCTTCAGGGGCTTCCTTTTAATTGCGAAGGATTCAGTCTGACTCTCAAATTCTCCAAGTCTGCAAGCTTGGCGTAATGGGGTTCTGCTCAGTCAAGGATGAACTTCAAGAGGAATTGAGTGAGTGTATAGGGAAATGCAAACACTCTGCCTTTGTGGAAGTTAAAAAAAAATGTTTACCATAGTAATGGATACCTGGGTGACTTTCCATTTTAGAACTCTACCCGTCCAGTCAATAGGTGCATTATGCAAAACTGGATACATTGCATCACTGTGAAGGACTTTAGACTGCGGTTTGCAAAAGCAGAATAAATTTTCTCGGAGTTACACTGTTATGTACACACACACACACACACACACACACACACACACGCTCATTGGCAGAGACGGCCACACCTCGCGGCTCCGGGGGAAGCCACAGACCTCAGCTGTACAAGCTGAGCCTGGACTAGAGGAACTTTCCGCGGGACTCGGGACGGACAGCCCCCATCACGCGGCTGTCGGCGAGCCGGAGTCCCAGGCGTGCGCGGCGGCCGCAGGTTCTCGGTGCGCCCCCGCTTCAGGGCCTGGCGGGTGCGGCGGCGGCCGGAGGCTCCGGGGCTGCAGGGCCCGGTGCCAGCGTGCGCGAGCCAGCCGACCCGGCAGCCGCGTCCCCCGTGCTGCGCTCGCAGCCGGCCTCCGCGCCCTCGGGCCGCCAGTCTACCGCCGCCCGCCGCGGCCGCGAACATGGCTGCGCGCCGCGCCGCCACCCTCGCCTGCTCGCTGCTGCTCCTGTCCGCCGCTCTGCTCCGCCGCGGCTGCCGGGCGCGCTTCGCCGCGGAGCCCGACTCGGAGCACGACGAAGAGGAGCCGGAGGTTTTCCCCGAGTCGCCGGTACAGAGACCCACCGTGCTAGTGGCCATCCTCGCCCGCAACGCGGCGCACGCGCTGCCTCACTTCCTCGGCTGCCTGGAGCGGCTGGACTACCCCAAGAGCAGGATGGCCATCTGGTGAGCGCGCCGGGCTGCCGTCGCCCGGCCCGGGGCCGTGGGGCACGCGGGGAGCGCGGGGCGCACGCCCCCGGACGCCCCGCGCCGCTCCCGGGCGGATGCGAGCCGGAGGTCGCGTTGGGGAAGGACGCAGGGGCTGCGTGCGCCTGAGGTGCCCGCGGGGCTGGCCAGCCCGGCCCGAGCTCCTGGGCGTGCGGGGAGGGGGGCGGTGTTGTGGGTCGGGGTGGCCTCGTCCCTTTCCCCGACAAGGGCTTGTGGGGACCCCGCAAGAGGGCTAGCGGCGCCGCCTTCCAACTCGGGAGGTTTCCTTTTTCCCGCCTCATACCCCTAGCCTTGGTGTGAGGGAATAGGGGTGGCCACCGCCGCCTGGTCGTCCGGACGCGGCGGGAAGCCTCAGTGTGGCTGGCAGGGGGGCTCCGGAGCGGCTGGGTGGCGACCAGTGTGAGCCGCCCCGGCTTCCCGGGGTCCGGCTCCTGCTCTCCCACCTCAGAGGCCAGAATGGTGGCTCCTGGTTCTCCCGGGGGGGGGGGGGGGGGGGGGGGGGTCGGGGTGGAGAGGACGTGTGGACTCAGAGTCCGAGGTTAGGTGGGACTCACGGTGTCTTCTCAACCGCGCCACCACGGCGGGCCCTGTCGCCACCGCGTGCTTTAGGCTGTGCGCGCCCTGGGCACCCTCCTGGGGCTCATTCCTCGCCGCAGATGCAAAGCACGCGGGGTGCTCTGGGGGAACCGAGCTGTCTTCGAGAAGGCAGAGAGTCAAGTTTTGTCGCGCCGGGATAGAGCCCGGCGCCCGGTACTGTGTGTGTTGCGGGGAGGGCTGGGACATCAGTGCGAGCGGCTGCCCGCACCGACTTCTAGAACTCGGTCTGGTCTCGCACCTTTAGTAAGGCGGGTATCAGAGGGCGAGACGTTGGTAGTCAGGGGGCCCCGCCGAAAGGCCTGTGTTGGAGGAGGTGGACGCTGGCCGCGGGGGTAGGCAGCCGGGAACGTGGACAAGAGAGCTGTGGTCCTCCGAGGAAAACAGAGCCCAGCTCGCTCCGGAGCAGTTCGTGTTGCGTTGATAAAGGCAGCCGTCCTCACGCAAGACACATCCTTAGAGCTGCGGTTGAGCAGAAAGAGAAGGGAGGAGGGTAGGGCCGTAGCCGGAATTGGCAGCCTGACCATACCTGGTGGGAGAGGTGCGGAGGTGAGAGCGCAAACACGAGGTATAGAGCCGCTCTGTGCTATACACTGCTTTACTATGACCCTGTTATACGTGACTGCTGCCACGGAGAAGGGCACGGGATGTGGAAAGGGAGAACGGGGGTGCAGCCAGGTTTTAAACCAGAAGGAAGAAGGATTTTTTTTTTTTAACCACTTCAATACCAAAGAAAATTTCACAAATGTCAGTTCTTAGATACTCTCTTCAGGAGAGATGTTTTACAATATGGTCTTGGTCTTTATGCATTGTTTGGTTTTAAAGAACATTGTTCCATTTTAAGTTACTCTAGGAAGTTCGTGAAGGCTGCGGCAGGTAGGAGGCACAGGTTTTGCTACCTGATGTACAAACACCCTCTCTTCTATCACAGGGTGAAGTTTTAAAAGAGACACTAGGATCCCTATTTTACAAATGAAGCAACTGTGACTTCCATCCGTTCAAGAACTCCCTTAAAATCACAGAATTAATAAATAGTAAAACTGGAATTGGAACCCAAGTTTGTCTTTGAAGTCCGCCCTACAAAAATGGTGGTGGCAACATGATACAAACAAAATTAATTTAAACCTATAGGCTACAAATTAGGAGGCAAGCTGTTCGTGGCTCACTTGATATGTGGCTTTGGGTCAGTTGTTTGGGGCCCATAGACATCAGTTTCCTCATCGGTAGAATGAAGGAATTGGAAGAAATGATTACCAATATACTTCCCAGCTCTTGAATTCCATGGATTTTGTGATATGATCAGAATCAACTAGCAATGATTCTGTATCCTAAGTTCTCTGGATGTTCAATATTTTGTGGATGTTGACGTTCTTTTCAGATGGTTAGTATTCCAGTTCTCCATTGACTTTTGGGATCTATTTTCCCTTAATCTTGTTCATAGTCCATGTAATTGTGCCTTGTCCCTTATGGCCAGAGTTGCAAAGTTAAGGAAAAAACCAAAGTTTGAACAGGCCTTGAGCCACCATTGCATTAGTCACTAAAGACTCTTCTTTGAGTTCTGGTTTAGAAACCTTATATCATTTATTAGGTACTAATAACCAAAAGGGCCATTTAAACCTAGTCCTCTGTAGCTCTCAAAGTACTTTCATTAACTGTGTCATCTCATTTGATCCTTACTACCACTCTGTAAAGAAATAAACTTATCTGCATGTTACAGAAGAAGACACTATACCTGAAGTAACTGACTTAAGATTACACTTATTTACTAACTTCACAAATACATAATAAGAAGAGCTCACATTTATTCTAAGCATTTATTCTGAGCACTTACATTCACTCTTAGGTATGTACTGTGATTATACCCTTTTACAGATGAGAAAATTGAGGCACAGAGAGGTTATGCAAGCACACAATCCTAATGACCAGCTTTTGTGAGATTAGGGCACTATGCCAGGTTCCAGCTGAAAAAAAGTTGAGTAAGGTGTGGCTTCTCACAGACAAATATGGCTCTTTTTACTGGGCAGTGTAAGGTGATCTGAATGGCGTTTATAGGGTTTAAGGGAGTGACAAAGGACTTCTAGATTAGATTGGAGCAGTTATGTGGTCATGGAAGCCTTCTTGAGGAGAGCTGACCCTTAGTTAGAAGCCAATTTTGCAAGACAAATAGGAATTCACTAAAACCTGGAAAGTAAGGAGGGTTCTAGAAAGAGGGAACAGTGAGGGGAAAATAAAAAGACACTGGGACATTAACCAGAGTTTCCTGCAGGAGCAGTAAAGCAGGAGGCAGGTTTCCTGAGTGCAAATCTCTAGTTCACTGCATTGTACCACCGTAGTTACTAACTTCGAGACTGGCATTAGGTGAGGATTTGGCTGTGAAGGTTACAGGATGTTACCCTCCAGGAGGAAGCAGTAACTCAATTTAGGATGCTATAGCTTTGAGGAGCTTCTTCTATGAGTTACTTCCTTTTAGTCTCTTGGTCTCAAGCTCTACTCAATATTCTGAGATGCCAGACTGAGTATCCACTCTGCAAAGCCAGCATAGACTAATGTCAAAGATGGTCAATGTCAAAAATGGCGTTAGCTACCCAGAACTTTACACAACAGAACCAGGTGGTATATAGAGCCTGGGCTGCCAACTTCCATTTACTCTTATCTCTGAAGCTCTGTGCACATTCATCCTTCTCGTTCATCTGCTTACCTCTGGCACTGGCTAGAGGAACATCTGGTAAGACTTCTTTCCTGTAGGATTGAGAGGTATGGTTCATTGAGCACATTCAGATTTCCCATTGCTGTATTTTTTTTCCCCACTGAAAGTTCTGGAACATATTTGCCATCAGTATCAATAAATTGCCCTGAAAAATTTTACTGTCAGAGACTGAGTACAGTTATCTCAGTTAACACTGAGTTTACTTGGATTAGATTGAATTAAGGAAAGTTTGTGTTTTAGAGACACTTTGTACCAGGCAAAGGGAAAACCTGTCGCATTTACCACTCTGATCTCAAAACCCCCATCGAGTGAATAGTTCTCCTTCAAATATCCTAACGATGATAAGGAACTAAGATGTTCCTTGTGTTCTAATTAAAACCTGCACCAAATTGATGGGAATCACAGCTGTGCCGAGAGCGACCCGTTTGGCCTGTGGCTTATGCACTGCGGTGGGTGCGCTTTACTTCAGTGGAGCCATGAACGGTGGCCTTAGCAACAGAGGGAAGGCTGACCTCATCCCCCTTCCCAAACCTGTGATTAAGGCAAGGAGTGCCAAGTTGCCATGATAATGAAAAATGGAGCAGGGCATGAGGAAAAACATTTGACCCAAAAGACACATTCAGTTTGTCCCTTGGAGCCTATGGTTGCCTGTGGGAAGACAGTGGGGACTCAGGCTGTGCCATCATAAGGCAGTAACTGCCATGTAATTATAGAACAATCTGAGCATTTCATTTGGTAGAGGTTCGAAAAGTTGCATACTATATCGGGAACCATTGTATGGCTTTCTAAATCGAGAGACGGTTTTCTGCTGACATCGACATAAACATTGGTGGGCTTCTGCTTGTTCTGGGGTGCCGAGCCCCACATTTTGCGCACGACTTTGTTGCTGTAGTGTTTGGGAGATTACCTTGGATTATTCTTCACTTTTTGGTGCTCAGCCAGTAGCATTTTGGGTAATGTTTAATGAGACACACTAAAGTAGGTGTGTTTATAAAATGTTTCAGACTACTACTAGTGGTAGTTTCCAGCACCAGCAAGAACAATGTTACATTTTATCATTACAGTCTTGACATTTAATGCTTATGTTATGCCTATGAATAGACATTTCAGCTCCTGGGTGAAAAATTAGATGAAACTTTCGTCCCCTTCTCTCCGTTAGTCTGTTTTCCTCACTTTTCCACCTTCTTTTTCTTCTTCTTCTTATTCTTTCCCCCCAACCTGGTAGGGAGTATCCAGGTTTACAGTCAGTTATGCTAGGGTTTGAATCTCCCGTGTGATTGCAGGCACATTGGTGAGCCTCTAACCAAGCCTAGCTTCTTCATCTGGAAATGACCAATAATAACACCTACCTCCAAGAGTTTTTTTTTTTTTTAACAAGTTTTTAGACAAATGAAATAATGCATGGACTATGTCTTACATGTAAATGCTACTAGATAGACAAGAGTTGCTATTTCCTATCCATCTTTTCCTTTTGGTCCCATCTCCTTTCTCTTTCCAAATGAAGATTTTCAAAACAATAAATATTCACAAGGCGGTCTTGCCTTGTGAATATATATTCTTTCCAACAAAACAAAGTATTAGCAAAATGAAAACTAACATTCATTTACTAATGAGATCTAAACACTCCGATAAGATAACTAATTTAGTCTGTGCTATG